TATACTTAATAATATCAGAAATATCCAGGCCTAAGTTTCTTGAAAATTTGTATTCCTCTATCTTTCAACAAGTCCTTCAACAGAATCAACCAGTGGTATAACGTATAGTTAACTATACATGGCGAAAATATAGATATTTAGTTTTTAGCACGTATAGGTAACTAGAAATTATACTACTATATACTCCTGTTAAAGGACATATTATCACGAAAACCAAAGAAACAAAATTGTGCAAGAAACATAGCCCTGTATGCTTTTTTAATATTATTAAATTATAAGTCAAGAAATAACATATATATTAAATGCATATCGTTCTAAAAATGGAGCAATCCATACTTAAATCATTAGATAGTGAAAAAGACATATTGGATTGAATAAAATATTTATTTGCTAATATTTCGGTTGGCTGAACGCCAACCTTTATCGAGGCATTACATACAGTGTATACACAAAATTATAACAAAAAATATTATAACACAATGCGACGCTGAGTTTGTGTATACAAATATGTAATGCCTCGAAAATGGTTGGCGTTCAGCCAGCCGATATATTGACAAATAAATATTTTATTCAATCCAATATATGCCTTTTTTACTATCTAATTAAATGCATATATGGTACAGCATATTGCTCTGATTAAGTGTAGTCCACGAATAAAAATAATTTTAGAAAATAATAAAAAAATAATATGTGTAGTAATAATGTATGAAAAACGGTATTCAAAATACATCAAATTTAATTTTGTGACAAAGAAATATTTCAATTTTAATTAATTTTCTTAAAATAATTACGCAATTATTCATAGAACCATAAGAGATTTATCATTTATTATTTATTTTTTTAAAACCATCTATGTTCCATAGACTTTCCTAGCTGTGAATAATTTAGTACCAAGTAACGTTAAGATTTTCTATCTCATTAACAAATCCTTTTTACATAAAAGAACAAAGAAGCAATCATATTTTACAAGTAACAAAATAATTAAAATTAATAATATCTTCATTAAATATTTTATTACATTATTAAAACATGATTCTAATTAAATAAAGTTTCTACTAAGAGAATTTTGTAATAAAATACCTTCATGCGTTTACATACTAGATTATTAATGATGTCACAGAACATTATTGATCCACTGTTTTTTTTTTAATATACTAGACCAGGGGTTGGTAATCTGCATCTCGCGAGTCACATGCGGATCTATGGATGTGAAGCTGTATGTAGTACCTGTATAAATAAATTTTTTCTTTATATCGACTTAAAATCCTTCGACAATTAATGTTGTTGTCGTGTCCAATGAAGAGCTTCAGATGTCTCCATACATCTCTATCACAGCAGTCGCTTTGTTCTCTATCTTGGGTGTGTAAAGCTGCTGTTCTGGGTTCATGTTAATTTTATGTTGTAGTTGTCATGTCAAATGAAGAGCCTCAGATGTCTCCATACATCTCTATCACAGCAGCAACAATGTCCTCTATCTTGGGTGTGTAAAGCTGCTGTTCTAGGTCTTTGTTTATAAGTTGTTGTTGTCGTGTCCAATGAAGAGCCTCAGATGTCTCCATGCATCTCTATCACAGCAGCAGCAATGTCCTCTATCTTGGGTGTGTAAAGCTGTTGTTCTAGGTCTTTGTTTATTAGTTGTTGTTGTCGTGTCCCATGAAGAGTTCAGATGTCTCCATACATCTCTATCACAGCAGCAACAATGTCCTCTATCTTGAGTGTGTGAAGCTGTTGTTCTAGGTCTTTGTTTATTAGCTGTTATTGTCGTGTCCAATGAAGAGTTCAGATGTCTCCATGCATCTCTATCACAGCAGCAGCAGCATTTTCCACTACCTTGGGTGTGTAAAGCTGCTGCTCTGGGTCTATATCAATTTTCTACAAGGCTACGGCCATTGCTGGGCATGAGAATATGTGTATTTTTGTATTTAAGCAAACTATTGTAGGATCATTAATCACCACAGACACGGTTAGCCACTAAATGAGAATATGTGTAGGTATTAGTTCCACACCAGGATAATTGTTGCATGTCCTATAGGTTTTTGTGCCATCTGGATGTATTGTCATTCCTTTATAGTGTTTTGTTCTAAGTCTTGTTATAGTTTTTGTCAGTTTTCTCTCGGAGTTTATTTCGTATATTTGATCTTTTCTTATTTTTTTCGACAATTAATAGAAAAATAAAATGGAAATCATCAAGGATGAGTATTTCATATTTAATATCTATATGCCTGTTGATTCTAGTAAATTTTATGGATAATAATGTCTCAAGAATCAGTCATTTGTATTTACTATTTATATTAGAATAATATTATTGGTGGTCTGATAGATTAAAACTATGGTCTGTGTTGTTTATGTGGTGTACAATATAATATACTTATTTTTCCGTTTATCATTACTCTTCAAAATTCATACTTCATCCCTAAGGTTAGAAATAATCGTTATTTCTCCTTAAAATAAATTTAGATTTTTCTTTCAAAAGAAACACATGCGGGATAATTCTCAAATGTTGTTCTACAATCATAAGACGCATTATATTGTATTAAAAGATACTTATCCTTTGTGATTTTATTTTTACTTTTCTAAATTTTTATTTATACGAATACTATTTATTGTTGGCAAGGAAAAAAATTGTTGTGGTTCTTTAAAAACTTAGAAATTTTGTAAATTGTAATTTTTGACTCAAAAGAGTGCCAACTCCTGTATTAGGTGAATGAAACTGTTTCGCCCGGTTTCTTCCCAAGTGAATGTGGTCCAACAACATGTTGTTTAAACTAAAGTTAATTATAAGAGAATGATCGTAAAAGCTTTTGGGTAAAACGCCCTTCTACGGGTACAAAATGACACAATAGTTTATATTGTCACATAGAAGATTTGGAAAGACAAACTTCAGGATGACACTCAATTTATTTAAGGCACGTAAAAATTATTATTTTTTTAAATACAAGAGAGGCGAAGTGGTAAGTTTACATAGTAGCAATATATAAATATTAAAATTGGTAATCTATTAATAATAGTAAAACCTTCCTTTAGCAGACACCCCACTAGCGGACAGTTTTCATTTGAAAAATTACCATTTTTAGTATTTAGCAACTCTCCGGTAAGAGGACACTTCTCCCTAAAGGACACTTCGGCTCTGCAATTAGATGTCCTGGAGACGCCGGTTATGTAAATTTCTCTTTTTTGCTTATTCAGCCAGAATATTTACATATTTGTATATATAATTCTGTATATAAGGATGTAAAAGTTAATAAAAGTGTGTCAGTAACAATCGGGTGTTGGTGAATTATTAGTGTCATCAGTGTGTTGTGGGCACTTTTAAGGAAGCAAATAGGCTTCAATTAGGTTGGAGACAAGAATAAGTCTGGCAAGAAGATACAGTCAAGCTCTGCCACAACTATTTAGATAAGGCCAGACATATCCAAGATGCGGCAAGTTTTCCGAGCTTTGTAAGTGAGGCAGTGATCGCATCCGAAACATGTCCTTTACAGGGAGGTAGTTCTACTGTATATATATGATCCATTGCCATTCGTGTCATTTTGTACCCGTGGAACGGAATCTTGCCTTAAAGCTTTTACGAACTTTCTTATAAAATATAAAGAAGGCATCTTCTGACCACGAGCACATGTGCTTTTTAGATGGCAGAGCGCCATCTAAATTTCTTATATAAAGACGCTCTTCTCCCTGACTGGTGTTAATTCTTCTATAGTATATAGGAAGATTAGCGTTGTCTAACCATTATGTTAATATAATTATTATTATTTAAAACAGACGGATGGACATGCTAGATTTGCTGGACAAGATTGGAGCCGGGGCTACATCACCATATACTCTCATGTATGGGGCTGAAAGACGAACGAGAAATACTCCTCAGTGAAATTGGCCTTGAGGGACTCTCTTTGAAGCTCCTGTTGAATGAGGTGGTGAGAAACAGAGCTGGAGCTTTTGCATTGTTCAAATTTTGGAAGACGGCTGAAGAGAAGAGGAGGCTATATACATAATCTAATTGATGTAAATAATTATATGCAAATAATCTTTGTCGGGATTTGAATGAAGAATCCTGTATGGAACTTTGATTCCAGTAAAAGGCTGGTTGTTGCTGTTGTATATAGTCACAGTGTAGAAAATACTACACTATACCTACTACATATAGGTTTCTCTCTGTATTCTTAGTTCTCTTCAATTACTCTGCAAACTGGCGAATCCTATATAGGACTAGAGGTCCTCAATAAAGGCTTTTGAAGATGAAAAAAATATATATATAATTATTATTACCATTGTTCCTTGATAATCACTATTAACCGTTATTTAGGAGTATAGTTTGAGATAGAAGTAGGATAAGCTCGTGCGACCTGGATACCGTGATACATAAATAAAAACTCCCGTCTCCCCGGAACAGTTAGTGTAGAGCTGGCGTGCCAGGAAGATATACTGGGACATCCGGAGTCATATTGTCACACAACTACAATCAGCGGGCAGTGAACTACGGACGGAAGCTAGAACCTACCGTTCAACTTGGATGCCGAACTGTGCAAATTGGGTTAAATCCTCCGTGGATCAAGAAGGATCATCTCGGTCGAATGGCTTTCTCGGAAACAACCCTTATTGGCCCTTTGTTGTCATCGTCTGGTAAAGCCGTGTTGGGAATGTGTAATGAGACCCAAATACTGATCAAAGATAGGAATTTGCATTCTTTATATACTTATTTATTTATGTGAGCACCCAGAATTTATTTGAAAAAGGAACAATAAATTCAGGTAAAGAGTTTATTTTAATTTTAGTTTTGCAAGCTTTCGAGAAAATATTCTCTTCTCTTCAACGGGAAAATACTTCTATGTACAATATCAAGATGATCTTTATATAAAAACTAGCCGAATGGCCCTGGCAACGCCCGGGTTTTACCCGATTAAATGCCTTTATTTAAATACTATTTGTTACAATTATAAATTGGCGCCGTGGATGTCATTCTTGTCTAATATATAAATGAGTTTTAAAATTGTAAAAAAAAATGCATCGGCCGGGAATCGAACTCGGGCCGCCAGCGTGAGCATTCTACCACTGAACCACCGATGGTTATGAGAAATGGCCATATTTGGGTATCTATTCCATTCACAAAAGCAAACGGTGACAGAATTGATTATGACGCTGATAACTGTATATAAAGATAATTGAAAATTTTTATTCTTCCTTTTTTAAACTCATTAATTTACATACTCTATCAAAACAATTATTTTAGTTCTATATATGCATATTTCCCATAAACGTTGTCAATCATAATTTATTTTTAACTCTTTTTATACTTCTGTATCTCTCAAAGAATCTATATATAACACTAAAGATTACAATAAAGGTATTGAAAGATTGATGGAGACAAAATACGTCTGAGTATTTTGTATATTTTGGAAAAATTATAAATCAACGATTAATTTAACGATTGATATTTATTCAGAAAGATGGCGCAAGCCATCAACCAGTTTCACAATCAGGAGATGTACTTTTCTCTCTATTTATCTCGTAGTTTAGCAGCACGGTTATTTTCATTAAAATGTATCTATTGTATCAATCTCAATATGATGTCTTTTGTAAAAGTAAATCCTCGAAGGTATTCAAAATAATAACATCTTAAAACCAATAACAATATCTTTCTTTATTCGATAGAATTGAGTCGCTAGCTTTTAAGTTCTTTATAGCTCTTCATCATTGTTCTAAATACGCGATAAAACAACTCTAAGATAAATAGATCTTTATCGAAATGAAGGCTATAATGAAGAGATATTTAGAGATTGAAAGATGCTAGCCCAATTTCAACGAATATAAAGAAAATATCAATCTCTATTCATGATAAAATTGTGAAAAACGTTTAAAAATACAAATATATTTTCTCACAATGAATTTCTTTTATTTTGAAATGTTATCTTTCAAGCGATACTCGCTCTTAAACGGGCTTAATAAAAAACATAAACTATATTTTTTATTTAAGTAACCCAGGTTCCTGGAGCGTACAGAAGTCGCCAACTACCCGGGATGTCCTTCTGACCTAAGTCTTCTTGGATTTATATACAATGCCAGTGGAAGTCCAATTAATGAGGTGTTGCCAGGCAGATTTCTTTCTTGGGAGATTTTCTAGGGATGCTGGACATATGTTGGTGATACCTAGGAGAGTGGCTGTCTGGAATCTTTGGTATTGGAAGGTTGGGCAAGTGAAGAGGAGGTGGTCTACGGTTTGGTCTTCATCTTGGCAGTGGGGGCAAATTGGGTCTTCTTTCGATACCGTTGCAAGGTCTGCCTGAATGTAACCATGGCCGGTCAAGATTGTTGTGGAGGTAGATCCATGCTTGATGTTTCGAAGCATTTGGAGGAGTAGTTTCGGGGTAATAGACTATATCTTAAAAGAAATATTAACAAATATATACGCGCGCGATTATCACTTGAAAGCTAGAATTTTAAAATAAAAAGAAACTCATTTTGAGAAAATATTCTTGTATTTTTAAAGGAATTCCGTGATTTTAATCATCTATGTAGAAGCAAATTTGAAGTGTAATACTTATGGAAGAGTTTGGATGTGTTCCTATCCACATGTGTGCTAAAGAGGTTCCACATTAAGTTGTCAGGACCAAGATAGAGAGAGTTAAGGGAGGACAGACGGCTCGGCCCACTTGCTGCCTCCGTGACCTCCATTGTACCGCTCCACTTACGTCCCCGCTTTTATCTTCTCTCTGCTTATCTTCTTCTTTTGTACCACAGTATCCGCCCTGTACCCTCTTGTACCTACACGCTTCTCTACATCGAGTTCCTTCATCATTCGTATTATCTTTAAACCTTCCTAACTTATATTTTACTTCCTAAATATTTTCTTGTATTCTTTACTTTACTTCTTTTTCTCTTTTTTGAGCGAGGATTCAGTTTCTCCCCCTGCTTCTTATTTCTTTTTAGAGTCATTTCTAACAAGAGAATCGTCTGTATAAGACGGAATGTCTTTATAAAGGCTTGTGTGTATATATATTTGCTTGTATTGGATGATCAGTCGAATGTGTATTTATTGTTATACCTTTGCTGCAGGGATTGTCTGAATTGTAATAGAATCTGTTAGTACAGAGAGAGGCAAGAAGTAACGTAACTCATCTTTTACTTCCTAAATATATGCTTGTTTTGGATGATGAGTCGAATGTTTATACATTGGTCTACCATTGCCGCCGGAATTGTCTGAATTGTAATAGAAACTATTCTAGAGAAGTACAAGAAGTATCATAACCCATCTTTCACTTCCTAAATATGCTTTTACTGGCTACCCAGTCTGTAGTGCTTATACATTGGATCAACAATTGTAGCGGCCATGATTGTTGAATTGTAATAGGAGCTGTTAGGCTATAGAGGGACAACAACTATCATAACCCATCTTGTACTTCCTAGAGGGGTACAAGAAGTATCATAACTCATCTTTCACTTCCTAAATATATGATTGTTTTGAATTATGAGTCGAATGTTTATACTTTGGTCTACCCTTACCGCCGGAATTGTCTGAATTGTAATAGAACCGGTCTAAAGGGGTACAAGAAGTATCGTAACCCATCTTTCACTTCCTAAATATATTATTGTTTTGGATGGTGAATCGAATGTTTATACTTTGGTCTACCTTTGCTGCTGGGATTGTCTGAATTGTAATAGAATCTGTTAGTGGAACACAAAATTATAAGAGAATTTATTTTATTAGAAAAATCCCCCCCAACTTTTTTAATATCAAATAATTGAGAGGCGATTAAATTATTGCTACATAGAGAAAAAGACCATGAAAGAAACTCTGGCAAAATATATTAAATCTAACAAGGATTTAGACCGTTTAGAATATGTTAAAACAAGGAATAAATATACATCGATTATCTATATTAAAAAGGAAATATACGCTAACCTATGCACGGTAGATTCTGTGGCCACTGAACATGTGTCGGACCTGAAAGCTGTTGGGTTCTGAGCTACCTGGAGTATAGGAGCTCCATCTATGCTTCTTTTCTGTATTGAATCTGTATAAAACCGGTGGTCTCAATAGAGCTGTATGTGTGTGATTTTAAAAATGTCGAGTAAAACAAGATCCCAATTTAAAAATAATATACTAATTCAAAATATAGTTATTCTTTTTTAAAATAGTGCAATCCATAAATAAAATTTAATTAAAAAGGCATATATTGCATCAAAATATCATTTATTTTACCAATATTTCAGTTGGCTGAACGCCAACCTTTATCAAGGTATTATAACATGGTGTGTTGGCACACATTAATATGAAAAAAAATAGTACAAATGTGATATTGTACTGGGATAAGGTGCATAATTATGAAATAAAAGGCATCTCCTTATCGTGCAACTGAAAGTTGTTGATGGCTTGCGCCATCTACACATTAATATGTTATAATACCTCGATAAAGGTTGGCGTTGAGCCAACTGAAATATTGGTAAAATAAATGATATTTTGACCCAATATATATCTTTTTAATTAAAGATTCATTCTTGTATTGTGAATGTTGTTGTTGTGTCTGTGTGTGTTTTACAACATAATAAATCTCTTCCTATATTAAATCAGAATCATTATCCCAACCTAACAAACACAGCAGACTGCATCCGTTACCTCTGAGAAAACTTATAATCAATCTTTAGGTAAATAATTTACATGTAAACTGCCTCCCTCTATATATATGGGTAAGCTGGCGCTTATATTCATTATGCATGCATTCCATTTAATTTCCTTCTAATGCTAAATACTTCCGCCTTCCATATCATTTTATTTTAAAATTTAAATGACGATATATGCGCTGATATTTTTTAGGTTTTTTTTTTCTAAAATAATTAATGTCGTTTAGTAGTGAATTTTAAATATGTAATCGTGATTTACTAACTTTTATCGTTTTGATGGACTTTGGAAAAATATATTGAAGTACTAATCCCTAAAAAACTGGGGTAGACAAGTGTATTTATTATATAATAGTGAAATTTAGTTAGTGGGATTTATAAATAAAACAATAACGCTCAATGTTTAAAAAATCGAACTAATAAACATAAATGTTACTTTTCTCGTTTTCAAAATATCTTTCTTAATATATATATATATATATATATGGAAAAATTGCCGGGAGGAAATTAATCCATAGAAGCAATGGGCGCTTCTCCCGTCAAAATAAACATCAGAATCTGTCGCCATCTATTGACCGTCGCCGCAACTAGCGGCATCGGGTCGGTGACAAAGCCACAACACCAACTTTGGCAAACTGATAAGCGTCCACCTAGAGACCATGGTTTCGGGCTAATGGCCCTCGTCAGTCTAGGGCGGACTTTATTCCATGAGATCCACACGGGATCTAATGGAATCCTCACAATCTGGCATCTGGTTTTGCTGGCATATATATATTTGTGGATGGCTTTTCTTGATTTATCAAGAAAATGGGTTAGCCAAATATCAGAGAACAGGTTAAATCAACGTTTAGTTAATTTCGGTTCCACTAGATGGCGCTCTGCCATCTTAAAAGCTCATGTGAGCATGGTCAGGATATGCCTTTTTTGATTTTGATACCAACACCTGACCTTTTTAATTTTATTATTGTGAAAAATAAGTGGAAAATTGGAATTTTTTAATTGATATAAAATAAAGGTCGCTTTTCCCGTCAGAATATACATCAAAACTAGACGCCATCTATTGACCGTCACTGCAAAGTTTTGACGCTTATTTTGATGGGAGAGGTGACCTTTATTTTTATTGATCATCATCCTCCCAGAAAAATTCCATCTATATATACTCATTGACAAAACTTAAGGAAGCTGTACCTTTTAACATGCATATTGGGATTCAGACAATAACTCTGGAAGATATTACAGTGACCTTCATTGAAGACATACGAGATAACCAAGTGTGAACAAAATTGCCTCTTTCTCCTTAAAAAAAAAAAAAAAAAAGACGACTAGCGACCAAAAATATGAAACATCCGTAAGTTTTGTTCATGAGTGTGAATAAAAATAGATAACATTTTCTTTAAATTAATTAAGGAAAGTTTACTATGCAATTTATATATTGAAAAATACCTATAATA